CAGTACATATACTAATAAGGCAGTGAATAATAATGTGAATTCAATGATGCAGAGTTTTTATTTCTTTTTTATTTCTTTTTTTAAAGATTTACTTATTCAGAAAGTAAATAATGACAGAGATTGCACATATGTGCATGAGTGGGTGGGGGAGGGAGAAAGAGAATCTTTGAGCAGACTCCTCGTTGAGGCCCCACAATCCATGAGATCATGACCAGAGCCAAAAATCAAGAGTTGGATGTTCAACTGACTGAGCCACCCAGATGCCCCTACAGTTTTGATTTCTTGATGAAATATTTCCATGAGATTTTAAAGACTACAAGTCAGTTATTTTATAAAATGTTCCTTAACCTGGATTTGTCAGACCTTTTTTCTCTTTCTTCTTTCTTTCTTTCTTTCTTTCTTTCTTTCTTTCTTTCTTTCTTTCTTCCCTTTCTTTCTTTCTTTTTTTAAAGATTTATTTATTTATTCATGAGAGACACAGACTGAGAGAGAGAGAGGCAGAGAGACACAGGCAGAGGGAAAAGCAAGCTCCCCACAGGGAGCCTGATTCAGGACTCGATCCTGGATCCTGGGATTATGACCTGAGCTGAAGGCAGGCACCCAACCTTGAGCCACCCAGGCGTCCCATGTCAGACTTTCTCATGTTTAGATTCAGGGTGTGAATTTTCAGTCAGAACCTCCACACATGAAGTTGTGCCATCCTCAGAGTAATTAATGTCCAAAGGTGCAAAATGTCTACCTGTCCTTTTTTGGTGATATTAATCTTTACTGCCTGGTCAAGATGCCTGGTTTTTCCACTGTGTACTTACTATTTTTCCCCTTATAACGAGCTACAGGCCTGAGGGTAGACACTTTAAGACCATGCAAATGTGTTGCCCCACTACAGCCTCTCCCCCCAGATTTAGCATCCATTAATGACACTTGTCCCAAACTTTTCTTATGTTTTAAAATGATAATTTTTCCAATTTCACAACTCCTTTCTGCATGCATCCTTTCTCATTTTTCTGTTCCCAAGATCCTCCCCTCTTTCTCCTTGTTTTACCTAAATCAATCAATCTATCTATCTATCTATGTATCTATGTATCTATCATCTATCAATCACCAGGGGGCTCAATAATGTACTTTAGGTTACAAATGTCCTGATAGCATTGAAATCTCTTGTTTTCCTTTTGTTGTCATTTGTTTTTTTTTTTTTTTTTTTTTTTTTTTTTGGCCAAGTCTTCTGTTATACTCTTTCTGTATTGTTTTTCTTTCAAGTGTGTATCATCCAAACCTATTTTTAAAAAAAGGGTTAACATATTCAGTTTCCTTTGTCTACAGTGAAATTCTGGAAAGTAGTGGAAGTATAAGACTTGACAAATAATTTTTATTTTCACACTAACAGTTTTTAAAACAATTGTAATTAAACAAGACACTGTTCATTCTACCCAGCATGGCAGGGAAAAAAACTATTTTGGAAGGTCACTGTCCAACAAATGATCATGTGTAGCAAATCACCTTTTCTCGGTAATCTCCTCCCCAGTGCACAGTAATAATATTCATTGTAGGCATCCCCACTGAGCAGTTTCACCAAGGCTTTCACCAAGGAATAAGATGACCTTGGCTAAATTATTTTCTACTCATGTATGTGGCCCCAAGGCTGAAGGACTATACAATAAATTGGGTTGCTATCTCATTTATCACAAAGTTAATTAATTAATGTAGGTAAAAATATTTTATATTTCTACAGATGAAAGACTTTGGTAAAGCATTCAATGCTACTCTGTGTTTTTTTCCTATCTTTTAAGTAAAAGCTTAATTAGTAACTTTGAGAAGGAAATGGAAGTAATCAAGCACATTATGCTCTTTGAAGAGCTAGCCTTTTTGTAGTAAAAATGCTTCCACCATAAGGTTTATTATGTTTCTCACATTATTCAGTTCCCAGAACAATGCATTTACTGAAAATGCAACATGCTGCTGTGATCTGCCAGTATAAATGATGCCACGTTAAAGTTTTAAAAACATGCTTCCATGCATGAAATAGGAACTCCAAGCCCAGGAAAACACAAGCTCTCACATTAAAATATTTTATATCTTCTATTCTAATTTTAGAAAAAAATATTTTTTAATGTTTTAAAATGTTTAATGTTTAATTTTAACTAAACTTTTTTGATCGAGCAAAAGTATAATTGGAATATTAACTACAGAGGGCTTCTCCTTGCCTTCTCTCCAATTAATGTGTCTATCTGACTCTCTGTTCTCTTGAGTTAGGGGTTGACCAGGTTAAAATGGGGAGGATAAAAAAGGATAAAAAATAAGGATAAAAAATAATTCCCCCTATTTTTTCCTTATGCCCTAGTTCTAACATCATTACACTTCACCAACAATATTTTTAGTAAGTTGGAAAGATTAAAAATTGTAAATTGTTTTTGTAGTGAGTAAAAGCTATATATTCCGGGTGGAATTTAAGGTAAATTCTCTAGGTTTTGATACATAACTAAATGAGATCTTGTCATGAGTTGTGTTCTTCACTTGTTCAGCTATGTCTGTCTGCTGAGTGCCGATTATGTACCAGTCCTGGTATTACACTTGGGATTGAGTGATGAACAGAATAGACGATCCCTGCCTTCTGGAGCTAATATTCTAGAAGATGGGCAATAAACAATAAATATCACAATTAGATAAACAATATGGTATCTTAGAAGATTAAAAGCACTCTGGAAAGAAAAACAGAACAGAATAAGGAGGCCACAATGGGGAGGGACATAAGACAATCTTAAATAGACCAGAGCAGTCCTCATTCAGGAGGTGATCTTTGATCAAAAAGTTGAATTACTCAGCCATTAGAAACGACAAATACCCACCATTTGCTTCAACGTGGATGGAACTGGAGGGTATTATGCTGAGTGAAGTAAGTCAATCGGAGAAGGACAAACAGTGTATGTTCTCATTCATTTGGGGAATATGAATAATAGTGAAGGGGAATATAAGGGAAGGGAGAAGAAATGTGTGGGAGATATCAGAAAGGGACACAGAACATAAAGACTTCTAACTCTGGGAAATGAACTAGGGGTGGTGGAAGGGGAGGAGGGCGGGGGGTGGGGGTGAATGGGTGACGGGCACGGAGGGGGACACTTGACGGGATGAGCACTGGGTGTTATTCTGTATGTTGGTAAATTGAACACCAATAAAAATTAATTTATAAAAAAAAAAGTTGAATTAAGTGAGAGAGTCCATGTTCTAGGCAAAGCCCTAAGATGAGAGGGTGCCCTGTTGTGTTCACCAGCACACGGAGTATTTCTGTGTTCATAGAAGAGTATGACTGGAGCCAGAGTGGCAAGAGAGAGTAGACAAGGGAATAAGGTCAGAGAAATAAAAAGAGGAGCCAATTATGCATTGCCCTGCAGGCCCTGGTCAGGAATTTGCCTTTTACTCTGGATTAAATGAGGAACCACTAGCTTTGACTCTTCTTTGGAGAAAATGGAAAACCACTGGGAGATTCTGAACAGAAGAATGATATAATTTGACATCTACTTTAAAAGGTTCAAGTTGGCCACTGGATTTAGAATTGACCCCTGGGGGCCAAAAGTGAATGCTGGAAGAGCAGCTAGGATGTTATCACAGCAAAGCCGGTGAGAGCTGAGGATGGCTCCTACCAGGGAAGGAGCAGTGGGGACTGTGAGCAGTCAGACACTGCATATATTTTGAAGATGGAACTGGAAGTTTTCCTAGTAGGTTGCATGTAGGTTTGATAGAGGCAAGGAGTCAAGGATGACTCAAAGGTTTTTGGCCTGAGCTTCTGCAAGTCCAGAGATGCCATCAGTTGAGAGGATAAAGGCTGTCGGCTGTGAGCAGAGGAGGTTTGCGGGGGATGATCAGAAGTACAACATTGAACATGTTCAACTTGAGATGGCTATGAGACATCCAAGCCAAAATGTCCAGTAGGTGGTGGGATCAAATGAATCCGAAATTCTGGAAGGAGTTTTGGAATGGAGATTCATAACTTTAGGAGATAATAGCATATAAATACTATTTTTTACCAGGAGGCCAAATGATATAACCAAAGGAATAAGTGTAGATACAGGCTAGAAAAAGACAGAAGACTGAGCCTCAAGGCACTCCAACATGATGATATTGGAGAAAATAACTGACAAAAGAGGAACAGGAGAAATGACCATATTCACATTCATCTGAAATTTGCTCCCTCAAGTTGAAGATGATAGGGGAAAAGTTAAGAGGGAAAGGAAGTTATTAAGGAATTGATACACAGGGCAGATTGCATGTGGAAGTTATGCTCTTTACAATAGGAGCTGAGAAAGGACATGACCGTGGATAAGAAATTATCTTTCTAAGAATGCATTAGATTTAAAACTTGACCTCTTTTTAGACGTCAAATGGTACTGACTTAGAAAGCACTACTGAGTAATTACATAATACAAAACGCAGTATTTTATTTATGAAGTCATATGTATTCAATATATTTATATGTAGAACTAGTAGATTCTCAACAATTACCTGTCAAATTATTAATGCATTACCTTTGCTTTTTGTTGAGAATTTTCATATTATGTTAAAAGTGTTTTCTTTGCATAAAGAGGACACATAAAAACCTTATTCAGTCATTTTTCTTAAGACGTACATACCTACTAAATCAGATGCCAGTTGTTAAGACATGTCACTTACGCTTTCTCTATAATTATTTCTCAGAACTCTGGCAGGTAGACACAGTGGGTATGAACTATCTATTTATTTCTCTTTGGCTGATTGGGAATTGTAGTCAGTAAGACAAGTATTAAAAATATGAATACTTTCAAATGTGAGTAGATTCTATTACTTAGATTTAAGTAATCTCCATCAAAAGCTCTAATGTAGAGCTTCGACCTACGTTAATTCAGAAATGCCCTACATTCCTGGAGATGATTGCAGTGAAAGTCATTAATGTTTCCTCTCTCCAAGAAGTAAAGCATAACTAAGGAATCTGACTCTTTCTTCAGAAGGAGTGGGCAATTGTGCTTACTTACCAGGATAGGAAGAGATGGCATTGATGTGGGTGGTCCTTATGACACCCACCCGGGTCCCACGGTTGTTTTTCATACACATGCAGATACATATGGCAATTCCAGCAATGACTCCCATGATGAAGACAATTCCAAACACTATGCCAGCAATTGCTGTGCCTCTAAAAAAGAAAAACAAAAGTACATTTATTGAAAAAGGCTTATAAACCTTTCAAATACAACTCCATGACTATATGACAAATGCTCTTTTGCAAATCTTCTTAAGGATAATGTTTTTAAAAAAAGATAATTCCCTGAATCAGTCAAGTAAGTAGTCTTGTGTATTTCAAAAGATAAAAAGTTATAAACCTTCAGGGAATCCTCTTCCAGTACGATAAGCCTATCATTCAGATACTGACTTTAGAAATCCATGTATTTATACAAAACACAATTATTCAGATATGCGCTCTAAAATCATAATTAAAAAAACTATTCTGCTGTTTAAACATCAAAGAATTTATCTATTGTCTGTGAGTACACGTTTACTGAAAACAACTTGATAAATGCCAAAATATTAAATAAAATTTAACATTTATTTTTATTAAAACTCTTCACAAAGTAGAACTGGCATATTTCTTTTTCTTAACAAAACAGAGAAAAGCAAAATAAACATTTTTAAAAAATTATTCAGAAAACAGTTACAACAAATGGTGTTCTCATTAAATTCAGGAACAATGCAAGCAAAACCTCTATTCTATTAACATTATGTTTTCTCCAGGTTTCATCTCTCACAACAAAATCATAGAAAGAAAGAATACTGCACAAAAGAGTCAATATTATCATTATGTGTAGATAGAATGATTTGTAGGAGTCTACATTTGTTCACATTTTGGAAAATGGAGAAATCTTTGTGAAAAGATGTAATTTTCAACTAGCAATATTTCTAGCAATGCTCTCAGAAGAAATACAGTACATATGGGCACAAAAATGCAATAAGGATGTTTATCAATATATTGTTGCTAATAGCAAAATATCAGAAGCACTGTAATATCCAAATGACAAAAAAAAAATGTTACCCCAGAGAATGAATCTGATACAGTGATTAAAAGGTGTGAAGAAGTCCATATGGACTGAGGTGAAATGTTCATGATACATGGTCAACTTAATAATAATACTACAAATGAAAAGACAAATATTAACAATACCAGTAGAATGATTGTAAGGAGAAAATTGTATTTTTATATTTTAAAATTTTGAATGTATATATAGTGATTATCTTATATATATGGGACAATGAAGAAAATTTTCACTTTCTAATTTGGCTAACTCCCCAGAAGTAACCATTTCAGCTCCTTCAAACATTGTTTTATTACATTTTTTAAAAAATGATTTTATTTACTCATTCATGAGAGACACAGAGAGAGACAGAGAGGGAGAGAGAGAGGGAGAGAGGTAGAGACATAGGCAGAGGGAGAAGCAGGGTCCCTGCAAGGAGCCCGATGCAGAACTTGATCCCGGACCCCAAGATCATGCCTGAGCCTAAGGCAGATGCTTAACCACTGAGCCACCCAGGTGTCCCATTGTATTACCTTTTTTATTTAGAAAAGATTTTATTTACTTATTTGAGAGAGAAAGAGAGCAAAGGGGGGGGGGGAAGGCCAGCAGACTCCCTGATGTGCTTGGAGCCCAATGTAGGACTCGATCCCAGGACCCTGAGATCATGACTTGAGCTGGTCAGACCCTTAACCTACTGAACCACTCAGGCACCTCTGTTTTAGTAACTTTCTTTCTCTTTCTATGTAATACAATTACATTCCTTTATTTTTAAAAAAAAAATTATATTTGCATATTATCTATGGGCTTCTCTTATAGTATTTGGGAATTTAGATCCCATAAACAAACTTTATTGGTGGTTAAATCAGTCATCAGTATTTATATTACCATGACATTGCTTACTGTGGAGTTAAGCAAGGTTACCTTTTGTTTCTCTTCCACTTACTTGTGTTAGGAATTTCCATGAGTTCCCATCTTTCCATATGTGTGTTGTTATTATACACCCCCCCTCAAATGCTTAGAAAATTTTCATATAATTATCAGAAGTTCTTACCACTTTCTTTTTACTACTACTATTCTAAAATTGCATAATGTGCATGGATTTTTTTTAAAAATTGTTTTTCCATCTCCTTAGGCTATTTCATATCTGGAGACTCATTCGTCACTTCTTGAAACTGTGCCATAAATGGATCATTTCCTTTCCACCGTTTTATCCGTTTCTCTTTCTGGAAGCCTATTCTGAAATAACTTCTGGGATAACATCTCCAGTTTTTCTGATCTCTGTTTTCTTGAACTACTCTCTGGGGAATTTCATTGACTATACCTTCCACAGATTTATTGCACTTTTTCACTTTCAGTTATCATATTTTTAATTTCTGGGTGCTCTATCTTACCCTCCAAAGCACATCCACCTCCCTATTTTAGTGTCCTATTTTGCTTTCCTATAGTTTTTCTCCTCTTGATCACCGAAGATACTAATGATATGTGTGTTCTAACTTTCTCTATTTTTTGCATTTCTTCGGTCCTGTTTAGATTCCTTTGTATTGAATATTTGTTTCATGTTTGACATTTTCCTTAAATATCTGGTCATCCTTAATCTTCTGCTCTTTAAAAAAGAGGCACAGAATAGCCGCTTGGAAGTTCACTGTGGCAGGCTACCACTGCACAGATGAAATCCACAGATGAGTTCCCATAGTGTTTTCATTGGAGCTGTTCATTTTCTCCCCTTAAAAGGATCCTCCAGGGGTGCCTAGGGGGCTCAGGCAGTTAAGCGTCTGCCTTTGGCTCAGGTCATGGTCTCAAGTCCTGGGATTGAGCCCCGTATCAAGCTCCCTGCTCAGTGGGGGGTCTGCTTCTCCCTCTCCCTCTGCCGCTCTCCCTGCTCATTCTCTCTCTCTCAAAAAATAAAATAAAATCTTTATAAAAGGGATCTTCCAATTTCACGTATGAGCCAGCCAGACCCTTTGCTAGAGCCTTAAGTTTTACCTGTAAGGTATGAACTTTTGCAAAATGTGGTGCTCTTAGCTCAGAGACACAGTCTCACTCTGCTGTGACAGTGGAACCATTCAGAATAGATCTTTGGTAACAAAATTTTTGTGGTTCAAAAGCATGATTTCTAAAGTCAGACTGCCTGGGTTCCAACTGTAGCTGGGTAACCTTGGGCAAGTTGTTGAATGCCTCCCATCCCCCTAATTCTCTTATTAATTAAAGAAGGTCAGCTTGGTGCTTATCTGGTTCTCCTCTCAAATTTTGTATCATGAAATATCGTACTTTTGAACTCATTTGCCAGATAAATAATTTTTTTATTTTTGTGCCATATAACTATCTACCGTATACTTTTTCTAAGACAGGTCTATAATTCTCATCCCAAGCCCTTGGGGCCACATCCATATCATAAGTCAAAATATTAAGATTTTGGAGAGAGAATATTGTACGTATACCATATATTGTAAGATACTTCCATAGACAGCATCCTGAGCACACGTACATTTATATTTCTGCAGTAAAGGTGTGAATATTAACAGTCATGGATTATATACAGACTAGAAAAAAGCCCCAGGTTTCCTTAGTGAAGTTCAGTCTTGCCACCAAGTCAGTTATATAAAACATTTCACTTTCCAGAGTTGGTTTTTTGTTTGTTTGTTTAGGATTTCAAAATTACAAATAACAGGTACAAACATGTATTTATACTTTTTGAAGAGATTTTCTTTTTATGACTTTTCCCACTCTTAAAAAAACAATACTGCTAAGAAGTCCAAGAAACTCTTTTAAAATATCCCTATCCGCATTTTAACTATGTTTTAGTAAATTATGGAAGCAGAATGTGAGACATATTTGGATGTCCTGCTATTAATAATTAAAGAATGGCAGAGTCCATAAGCTTAATAAATAAGTCTTTTCAAAAAAGAAGGATTTAGGAAAGGAGATAATTTGAAATAAGTAAACCAAAAGTAATCTGGAAACCTTTTTATTGTAATTCCGAAGTCCAAGTAAGATTAATTTGGAGGGCTTAATTTATGTTCCAGAAATAATCAATGGCCCAATTATTCAAGCATAGAGTTTCCAAAGTGTTATGGAAGCTGTTAAGATATCAAATTGGGACATATTTATATTCATTAATTCATTTTTTAAATAGAAGAAAGGAGAAAATTAGTCACATTTTGTTTTCCTGTTGGCAGCTCCAGCAAAAGTGCCTGCTTGTGAGGTCAGTAATGAGGTTGCAACTAATGTGTTAAATGAGGTTTCTGATTAAATCATGATTTTGGTGTCCTTGATCTTTTGATACCCATTAGCAACTGTAAATTAGTTATTAAAGACATGGCAAGTATAACATTTATAGCATTATTTACTCTATTATTAATTGAAAGAAATAATAAACAAACAGTAACCTTTTGGCATATAAATAATTTGGTTTTGTCAACTGTTGGGAAGAGAAAAGCTATTAATTTGAGAAATTTGGAGTCATAAAAGTCTTGAAAAAAATGCAAGGAATGCACTTTTTTTTGAAAAAATGGACTGCATTGTATACATTTTTTCCTCTTTAAGCTTTTATTTTGAAATAGTTAGAGATTCACAGAAAGTCATAAAAATAGTACAGAAAGGTCTTCTGTATCCTCCATCCAGACTTCCCCTGCCCCCTCATGGTTACATCTTAGATGACTATAATACAACATCAAAATCAGGAAATTGACGTTAGTATAAAATGTGTGTATAGTTCTGTGTCATTTGAACACATGCAGGGATCATGTAATCAATATGGCAAGCAAGGTACAAGACTACTCCATCACCACAAAGATTTCCCTTGTGCTACTACTTTATAGTCACACCCACCACCCTCATCCCCACATTAATAGCTACTGAAATCACTAATCTGTTCTCCATTTTTGTAATTTTGTCATTTCAAGAGTGAAATGGAATCGTATAGTATGTGACCTTTCAAGATGGATTTTTTTTACTCAGCATAATGCCCTTGGAATCTATTCTGGCTTCTGCGCAACTAATACATTCCTTTTTTTATTATTAAGTAATATTTCACAGTGTGGATATACCACAGTTTGTTTACCCATGACCTATTATTGTAGGACATTTTGGTTATTTCCAGTTTGGGCTTTTGCAGATAGAGCTGCTA